AGAGGATCATATTTATTATTTGACAGGGTTTAGGACGGGCTGGTAAGCACTGATGCATTCAAATAACATGTCATGAAAATCAGATTTAGCCTTGGCTTTGGAAGATAGATGTCAAGACTACAAAATAAAGCATCATTTACTTGCGGGGTCTAGATTTCAAGTACGTGGTGCCAATTGTCTAACACAAGCTGGGTTTGGACAAACACAAACGAAGAAAAGAAAAACATATCTGTAATGCACGGGGCAAGGACATGTCACATTGCCTATCATGTTCCCGAGTAGGGACGGGAAGGGAGTCGATAAGTGGTACAGAATACACCGCAGTTTGAACGGAGAGAACCGCAGACCGGACGATTCTCGACTGGGGATTGATGTTAGGGTTTCTCTAATTGAAATGAAAATGACAACGTGTCTTAAGTTTCTTGTTCTATTTACGAATATTGACCGGTTGTCGAACTGTTATCATGGCTTTATCCTGGGGTGTTAATTTAGTCTTTGAACATTAACTCTTCGGTTGCTTTCTTCGCACGCTTTGCACATTCACTCGTGTGCCACACATGCCATGTTGCACAAAACAACTGGCACCAGCCGACGAAAGGATTGCTTTTTGCAGCACGATGGCTTTACAAAATTTTCAAATTTCTGGTCTTGATTAGCTCCATGACAACCCTTTTAACACTAGTATAGATTACTCTTCCACTGGAAATAGTAAAATAATCTTGAAGCCTTTTGTATCTATCCCATGATTAAAAAAATACAATATGGCAAAGGTGGTTTATTTGTTTGGCATATAAAGAGTCAAGGACACAAACATCTTTTAAGGGGTTTGAAATAAAAACCTCTCAGAAACATTTTTTGTTTAAATTTGTTTACATACTTGTACTTACCATACATTATCCTTTTATCAGGGAGTTGGATTCCGACTCGCTGATTATACGTATAAATTAATCGAAATTAATTTCTCAGACATGTTTTGCTTCCAGTTAGTGATAAATAAGCTATACATAATTAATACATAAAAAAATGCTGAGGTGTAAAACGACAAACTTGCCATGATGATGATAGACAGAAAGAGAAAGAGGGGCGGCAGGAAAGGTCGGAGAGAGTGGGGCAGCAGGAAAGGAGAGAGAGAGAGAGAGAGAGAGAGAGAGAGAGAAAGGGAGAGATAGAGGGGCGGCAGGGAGAGAGAAAGAGAGAGGGGGATTGGGCGGCAGGAAGAAAGACGGGGAGAGAGAGAGAGAGAGAGAGAGAGAAAGGGAGAGAGAGATAGAGGGGAGCGAGAGAGAAAGAAAGAGAGAGAGAGAGAGATAGTGGCGGCAGGAGGCTCATTCAGATCTATTTACTGTCAAATGGTCACGGAGCACAACGGGGGCACAACCTTTTTCATGATTCTATATCGTATGCCAAGCTTTTCTGTTGAGGGAATGTCATCCAGGTTTTACTACAAATAAATGTCAGATTTAAATCAATAGTTTCGTGAAAGGAATAACAAAACCACAACAAAATGGTACGACTACCTTGTCCGCCATTTGTCTCCCATATACACTCAAGATGGCGCTGTTCAATTTGAAATCGTGAAAGATTCTAGGCCAGGCGCGTAGCCAGAATTCGACGTTTGGGGGGGGGGCACATACATGTAATCGATCGAGGTATAAAAAAGGGGTCTAAAAAAGTTCAACCGATCTTGGAAATTTTAGGGGGCACGCCCTAGCTGGGAAACATCATCCAAAAGAAGAAAAACTGACCACCTTCGAAATTCCCGTGGATTGTTTTGATTGATTTGTATTGTAGGGGTGAAGCGGTAAAGCTGACAAGACTGTGAACCACAAGGTACGGAGTTCAAATCCCTGTTACATCACTAAAGTCTTTTTGCAAGACGTTTGTTTTGTTTTTCATAGTTATTTAGGCTACTACCCTTTACGAGCTAAGCTTTTTCCTAAAGTCTCCTGGCTCTGAGTTTCAAAGTGCATAAGTTAATGATTCGCTATTATATTTCTGCATGACACCAAACATGGTGAAAATAAAATGAATGGATGTAAACTCTCGCACACGGAAAGCCCATGGTTCCATCAATAAATACCCCTCGTCTCCCATAGAGTCTTCGGGTGAGGGAAACGTACTGTAAGACAATGCTTTTACTATGTGTAGTGTGGTTGGTAATTGCAGAGCATTACATGAGGCCTGTTGGTCATACACCTAAAGGCTGTGACACCTTGTATTGGTTTAACTCATAGCCTGCCATAAGGCTGCACGTACGCTATCGCTATGCTGCTTCGTACATGCGAGAGAGCTACCTATTGAGTGCTATGTGCGTGCAAGGGCGCTTTCGTAATAGCAGTTGTTCATGCTCATTGGACTGTGCTGTGTGTTTTGCACTCGCCATTCATAGAACCATCGCGTTAATCAGATTATCTCCAAAACAACATGGCACGGGGGGATTTGGGGCTTGGCACACTGGGGATTAGCCCTGTGACATGATAAGAGTTAACACGCGAATGGTTTGCAATTCCCTCATGAGAGCCCACTATTATGCGTAATTAATTCCTTGAAATGGTACAGTGCCATAATGGCCATGATCAAGCCATGGTAATATTGGGGAGTCGAGAAAAGTCTGGCAGACATTAGCGAAAGATGAACCAGGGAGGTGGAAGAACCCACCATTTTTCTGCCATAAATATGTATAAATACATATTTAATCTTGACATGATAACCCGCGAAAGCTGTCAATTGAATGACACGAAACATTTTTTCTGGAGATTTCATTGTATTGAGAGTCTGATTAACATTGTCATGGAGTCTCAACATTTGTTATGACAATGGAAAATTAGCGGTGATTAAAACCCAGTCGTTTGTATCTCAGATCAAAACGAGCTAATTTATAAGGGCCCTTTCTATCATTAAAGTATCTTGACGTTTCAGTTTTGACAAGCTCATATATTTCACTTTCGCATAGCCTTAGTAACTACGAGTATTTTTAGCCCAGAACGAATTAATGGTTATTAGATGATCATGTGGATTAATAAATATAGGCTGTCAAAACTCGAGGATGATAAAATGCACAACCTCAGTAGCTGATCCTGACCCAGCAAACTGTGGGAATTTCCATGCCGGGCAACGTATTGTTTTTGTATTACAATGACAAACTCAAAATATTACATAAACCGGAACAATTTTGATTTAGTTATTTTTGTGTAGACCTACTACATTTGGATGTATCATGCAACGTTTACATTATGCGGTTTATTCTAAGATCATTTTAGTTTATTGGAGAACCCTTTAAAAAAATGTTCGATATGTTTAAAAGAGTGTTAAATGATTTAAAGACACACCAATTGAAATATATTCTTTGAATAACCTACTGGTGTCCCGTATAAACAAAAAATGATATATATATTAACTATTGTGTCTTGGGCCAATATTATGACTTTCTTGTTCTTTGCCTGATTCGAGGATAATCTGCTAACTCTTTCATTCAGTGCCGGTTCGAATGTAAGCTTGTGGGACTCAAGCCCCCCCCCCCCCCAAAAAAAAAACACACACACTTCAAGCTCCCTCCCCCCCCCCCCCATTGATTACAATGGATTTCCGCAAGTAACAATGTAGCAAATTAATCTAAGTACCCAATCATCCCTTTTCCCCCAACCCCCTTCCTCCGCAAAATACCTTCTTCTAGAAACGCGTCAGCTTTTCTTTGACTTGGATTCAAATTTACGTATATACACTCACATAATATACGTATATACACTCACATAATATGCGTGTATTATGGATATATATGTATATTTCTTCTTCTTCTTAAACCGCCCCCCCCCCCCTCAAAAAAAGAAGAGAGGGAGAAAATGATATCATGTTAGATTACCGATCCCTATCCTTTTTTGCACTATCTGACAAATCCGCTCGTGTTACGTAACAAAGGTTTCTCGGGGAAAAAAAATTCTAATGAGAATATCATTATGTCTTTGTATAATTATTAATTAATTATTAATTATATTAATATATTAATTCTAGGAACATTTGAGTCAGCCAGTCACATGATTATGGCGTGCCATAGTTTGAAGTGGTTTCCTAGTTTCGATCATTCCCGACACTCCAATCATGACTACGGCCAAGAACTACTTATTTTAGTATGCTGTTTGTTTATCATTTACTCAACTGGCTTACATCAGAGCATCTTCCAAGAGCAAAACAGATTTGGCTGCCAAGCTATAAGCCACGAAAGGAGGAAGTGATTTCCGGGTTTCACTCACTTTAAAATTAACCCGCTGACTACTGATTTTCTCATTCTCCTCGAGTCCTCGGCTTAATTAAGTAACCATTCCGTTCCCGCAGACAATTGGTTTACTTACGAACAAAAAATATGCTATATAAGTCGATTGAGAACCAGGAAATGATCTGTGTATGAATTCACACCTAAGTACACACGTACATACATGACATATTATGTTTGCTCAAAATACTGGCTTCATTCGAGGAACCTTGGAATGTTTGGTTATGAAGAAACATGGCGCAATGTAAATTCTGTGAATCATCATTATCATCATAGGCAAAGGCGCTAGACCTGGAGGTGATTAGCAGAACCAACTCTATTGGACATTTGTTTACACTTTCTCTGTGTCACTTTCGATCATGGGTGCTTCTAGAGACCGGCTTACTTGTTGGCAAGTAGTTGTTATCCCATGACAGGTTGAGGAAATGTAGGAAAGAGACGTTTATATTAACCAGGCGTTACTTTATCAAACAGAACTGTGTATCGGTTACTTCATCGTCAAGGGTCTAATTGTATGACAAACATTAAGGAATCTACCGTTTGAAACACATGCTCTCTTATTTTTCGTCTGTTTATTGATTGTCATACCAATTCCATACCGATTTGACATTGCGCAAGACGAAAGGACGATATCGTTGAGATTCGGGTACAGAATTACTAGGTGAAACCAATACCTTTGAGCATTTCCGAAACGTACTTTTCATGAAAAGTAATATTCAGACTTTACGAAGCTATGACGCTTAAGGGATTCCTACTCCTTGCTCTACTAGCAAATTTATTCCGCAGTCCGACAAATGCTTTGAAGTCACGGTGGTCACCATGCAACGAAACCATCGATTGCGGTCATCGGCCTTGGAAGACCACTGTCTGTATTGACTGTCGGAACCGTAGACTGGAAAACCCTCCAGAATGGAGTACAAACGCTTCTTCAGATGCAATTGATTTCAGTGGAAACAGCTTGAGAGATACAAACATCAGTCTTGATGATGGTATCTCTTTAACATACCTATCTCTATCTCAAAATGAAATATCTACCATTGGCCCTTGGGATGATGACGGCTTGAAAACATTAAGATATGTCTATTTGGACGGAAATAGAATCAAGGGGCTTCCTAAAGATGTCTTTGGGAACCTTACAGAACTGAGGTGGCTTGATCTGAGCAACAACGAGATAACATCTGAGCACATCGATCTCTTCTGGGCAGCAAATGGATCACAACTTGTAGGACTTGACCTGTCGTCAAATCTCCTATCTGCTCTTACCAGACAGATATTCATCGGTCTCTCTTTCTTGACAAATGTGTACTTATGGGATAACCGCATCAATGTCTTGGAATCTGGGTGGGGTGATGGCTTGCAGAATCTAAGGCACCTCATCATATCCCACAATAGACTATCAGAAATCTCTAATATCACGTTCAGTGGTCTTAGAAAGCTTGATACACTCCATCTTCAGTTCAATTGTATCACTCACCTCGAAGACTGGTGGATGCAAGATCTGCAGAACCTCAGGAACCTTGATCTATCTTACAACAACATATCACACATCTATCCTCAAACTCTGCTCAACCTGAGTTCCTTAGCCGTACTGAACTTGATGCAAAACCCAATGGTTGACATTTATCTGCCTGTTTATCCAATGCTGAAGACTCTCTACATCTCTAACATATTGATTAAAAACGTGACCCTCCTGTTGGATATGATTCCGCCAAATGTGAATACACTTTATGTTGACGAGGACCAATGGAATTTGACAGCCGAGGCAGTTAGATGTAATCTTAATAACGAAGGCATAGACGTTGTAATTAAAGAAATCCATAAGGAAAATTTATGTGAAATAGCTAAAAATATCTCCACAAATGAAACCGTTTCGCCTCCAGAACCTGTTTCATCAAAATGGGCTTTCTGGTTTCTGCTTCTTGTGGCAATTGGCTTGGTTGCAGCGATCGTAGTTGCTGCATTTTGCCTATATCGTGCAATTGTTCGACAGCACCATTGTGAGCATGAGATTCACATCCGAAAGAAGCAGAGTATTGTGTATGTGCCTTTCACGGAATCATTGAGGATAATGAATTCTGCTTCGAGCAGTCGATGTGGAACCCTTGAGGCTCATCGCCAGGATGAAACTAAACCCCAAGGTTGCAGCGTGGAAATAGGAAGACCTGCACTCAAACGGAACCAGAGTGGCCTTGCAGCAGCTTTCTCAGAGCTTCATAAGGTTCAGTGCAGTAGTGGTATTGATAAAGTAGACATGCCAGTACCTGGTAGCAAGTTTCATCCGGGCTCTTCCGATGGTGGTGAGATATTCATCACAGAGGGACTTCACGAAAGGAAGCAAACAACAATGCTTTCCTTCAAACCGATGGGTTATCGTCAGCGGCGTAGAAATAGTCTTCCAGACAGGCCAATGTCCCAAAATAAAGATGGATGGCTGTATGAAATTATTCCTCCCGAATCCGATAACAATCCATCCCCAAGTCATGTTGGTAGAAACGTAGCACAACTGAGACGGGACTCAAAGTTGCTTTACCAGAACATTGCGGGACGATGTTGGACAAGTCGTGCGGAAAGACTCGCCTCTCAGCGAATGAAAAAGAGCAACGGCAAATACAACCTGCTCCGAAGCCTCAGCACCCCTACGGAATTAGAGACCGAAAATGACAACTGTTTTCCGCCAATACGGGAAGACGCACCTCCGGTTACTCCCAGACCAATAATCACTCTGACCCCACCGACCAGTAACAGTTATGAAGACGTAGAAACGGTACTCTATGAGGAATGTGATCGACACGAAATAGACCAAGTTCTTAGCGGTGAGACAGACTTCTACGATGACGTGTTTGATGACGATGAAAACTATATTGTCGTGTTGCCCTCAGACACGGATAAGTTATTACCAGAAGCAAAGGAAGAACAAGTCGATGAAAGACGCCTATCTACTCCTTCAGGCAAAAACGATATCGAAACCTCCAATGGACAACATTCTCAAACATATGAAAACTTTCCCGACCGCACTGATGACACGCACGTTGACCATCACGACTATGTCAATGCTGCGTTCACTGAAATTCCAAACTGCGATGACGAATCCCTTGATGATTTCTCAATGGGACTCTCCGAAAGCGACGAGGAGAAAGGCGAAGACAGGATCCAACTGTATGGTGATGATGGAAAACTTCTTCGAATACCGTCGGTGAGGGATTCCGTCTTGACGCAGTCGACATTCGAGACTGTTTCACTGTTATTGAGTGTGTCCGGTGAGAACATGTTTTCTAGTACGTCTAGCTTTGAATTCGATGAGGATGACCACGATGACAAGGCGATGATAAACAGCGAAATGCATACACTGTGATCATTGAAGAGGATTGGCGCCGGTTGGCCTTCGCACTCGATGCGTCAGTCCGATTGTGCTAATACCTGACTGTGCTAATCCAGCCTGTGAAAGCAATACTCAGGATTATTTTCTCTGGGAATCCTGCATTCTCCTTTGTTACATATCACTCGTGAATGGCACGTCAAAGACCGTCCTAGTTACTGACCCCTACATAATGTCTTGTGGTACTTTCTTTGGTACGAGCTGTACCACAAAAATATCACTGGAACATCTGATAACAGATTACATGTGGTACTGTACCATGGACCATGGTATTTCCAAACAGAGCTGTACATTGCGCAGTAATCTGAACCAATATTTTGTGTGTGTGGAATGTTTAATGAGATATGTATATACACCTAAGTAAAATATCGATGAAAATGAGGTATCTAAATATTATTCCATTACTCATGATCTTTTTAAAGAAGACATAGTTGTTCAAATAAGTAATCATCGACTCAACTTTGTCTCCTTATACACATGTATTGTTGTTTTCCAATATGAGGATATTGTAATCAATCAAAAAAGCAGAAAGGAAGCTTTAAACTTGTAAAATATAGATACCGATAGAGAAAAACGCTATTTATTTAATCATTCATGCAATAATGCAGTACAGCTCATAGAAACCAATGACTTTTATGGAAATCCACATTATTTATGCTCACCATATTTGCAAACATTGCAATACGAATGGTGAAGTCACATGAAAATCGGGGTTCGTAATCTTTCTAGTCTCAAACGAAGTAATCTTGATTTCAAATCAGCAAAATAATACACCTCTAAAAAGTCTACTTTTTCTGTCCATTCTTTTTTCTTCTTTTTTTTGGCCCCTATCTATCTCTCTTTCTTTGTTTGTTTCTCCTACCCGCGATCTGTATCTCATAATATTTAACTCATTTCCTTTTTACATCCTAAAGCCCAGCGCACACTACACAATGATCCGATTTTGGAATAATTTATGATAGAATTCGATAAGAACATTTGAACCCGTCAAATGTCAATTACCGAGGATCTGAATCATCACATGATCAATACATTTCAAGGGATGTCATGGTCCCTTGGAGGCCCCAAAGCTAAATCGACTCCGAATCGTAGTGATGTCAGGCCAGTAAAGCGATTGTCTACGATTTGAAGCAGTTCGGCTTTTATTCCGACTTACATTCACCAAAATTCCGGTCATAATATTGACTTTTTATCATTATTTAGAACCTAAATCAGGAGGCTAGCGGTTTTTTATGTTCTCATAATTATCTGAGTTAACTGCCCTTTCTACGAAAATCGGATCGCGTATGAGTTGTGTGGTGTGCGTCGCGCTTGACCTTCTGTTTCTGTTTCTACTTATTTCTCTCTCTCTCTCTCTTTCTCTTTCTCTCTCTCTTTCTCTATTTATTTCTCTAGTCTTCTCCCATCTCTCCCCCTCTTTCTCTCTCTCTCTCTCTCCCTCTCCCCCTCTCTCTCTCTCTCTTTCTCTCTCTTTCTTTCTCTCTTTTTTTCTGTCTCTATTATCGAGACTCTGTCGTACTCAATATTTGTTTCCTCACTTCCTATTCACATTCTCTGTTCTTGGCGTCTGATATTATTATTTTTTTTTTTTTTTTTTACAAATGCATAATTATGACGTCTTCAATTTGAAAGAATGTTCTTGTAACATTTTCTTTTAAAGTCTTTCTTTTATTTCGTAGACACTTTCCAGATTCAATAACATCTTAAATAAAACGTCTCTTTTTCTTGTGTTAATAAATAACATGTAAAAATAGGAAAATTGTTTAGTAATAAAATATCTGAAAAACTTATTTTTGATTTTTTTTTTCTCCAAATGTACAAACTTTACTTTTACCAAAATTCCGAGACAGATTTTGCTAACCTATACATTGTTAAATCTATTTTGTCCAAATAAAATACAAGCTAAATGTTTTCTAAAAATGCATGCTTTTTCAAAACGTTCACGTTAGTTACATATCTTAAAGAATCACACAAATGAGATAACCCTAATTTACGTACTGCATGCATACAGAGACGGCAACAAAACATTTATATTTCTATATAATATTCATTTGAATTTTGAACTACTTTCTGAATGAGAGTTTTTTCTAAAATGTAGATTTTAAAAGAAAATCTTTAAATGATTAATTTGAATAGTTTATATATTTCATTTAAAATGTATGCTTCGATACGAAACAGAACGTGAATTATTGCATAGAACTTTCACAGAAATAAAAATGGCAGAAAACAGTTTAAGTAGAAACAAAGTGTTTCACATAATATATGTCTAATTTTGGATTGAACCGATAAAAAAATAATAACAAATTATTTGATTGACATGAAGTTCCGGTTTTTTAATCTGAAGATGGTAAAGCATTTTTGTAAGAGAGAAACAAATCGTGTATGTAAATCAGACTCATAATTAAATTTAGTTATAGCATAGTCCAGTGTGTATGATAGAAAATAGACTTAAAATGAATAAAATAATGTAATTTATGACATATTAAAGGAGTGCTAAACATTTTCAGATTTTTAAAAAAGTTGTGCAGGATTCCTTTTTTGAAATATAAAATATTAACATTGTATTAAGGGCCATCTGTATGTACATTCAGATTGATTTCAGAAATTATTGTAGAGTGAGTTTATATGTTTATATGAAATACGAACGTATGTACGTTGCAATGATTGAAATTGAGAACAAATTGATTGGATTGAAATTAAGATTGAGAACAGTCATGGATTATTCTTGATAATTAGGTCAATGGAGTAACGGATGATCTCCAAAAGGCGAAGGAGATTAAGATTAGGGACAAAGTAGCACTGGTTTCCATAGCAAGGGTTAGCGAGTATTGGAAAACCTCGGAGTAATGCAAGAGATTTATTGCGTGGCCAGAGCGCCGGATCCAGTTCCAAATCCAACTCCTTTGGGTCCGAATCCTTTCCCGTAGCAGCCTAAAGATAAAAGTCGAAAGAAGAGAGGATAAAAAACTGTAAGTGATTTGTTAACCCCTACACAACCTTGCGGTTATAACATCTGAAATAATATATATATTAAAGGCACACTGTCCTACTTGTAGCTACTAGCTCCCTTTATATAGAAAACTCCCCCAATCGGTGCCTGTTGGTCCACCATGATCCTCTTTTTCTTATGTTAAATGAGAGCTGAGTTAATGAGATAGCCACTTGTCACAGTGACCTCGCTGGCTCGCTGGGTGGTCTAATCCCTTCTAGCTGAAGTAGTAAAGCCCTCCTTTAAACATAAGGGATTTGTGAAGATGTAAAACTAAAAATAAGGAGGAAAAATTGTGAGCGATTTTTTCTTTCTAGCCCAACATTTCTACAGATAAAGAAAGAAAATTGGAAAATAGAAGATAAACACAATCGTTAGGATGTTAAACTAAAAATAAAAAGGACAAATTGTGAGCGATTTTGTTTTCTTTTTTTCTAGCCCAACCTTTCTACAGATACAAAAAGAAAATGAGAAAATAGAAGAGGAAATGTGAACGATTTGCTTGCACTTCCTTATCCTAAAGATACAAAAGAATATAAATCAAAAGAGGAAAGAAGATTTGCGAGCGACTTTTTAAAAGAGAAAGAAAAATTTTAGTGAGCTGTTCACCCCTACACAGCGGAATAGAAGAATACAAAATTATTGAGTTTTTATTTAGCTCCTTAAACCATTGTTCGTAGATGATTTAAATTGTCTAATTAAAATCTCTATTATATTCAAATGACGTTTCATCTCAATAGCAACATGATTTACAATCAATAAAAACTATTAATCATACTTCAAATCCCCTTTAGCACTATAATGAGAAAATCCAATGACATAAAATGATAAAAGGGCTATTACTAACTGTTTTATACATGATGTACATTATAAGGCTTTTCGCAGTCACATGCACAGTTTATTGATACAATGATTGATATAAAGTATTCGTCATTTATAATATCAATGCCACTAGGATGGATTACATTCCGCACTTTCAGAGCTAAATTTATCTCAACGAGGAGATCATTTCCGTCATTCTCCATTCTACCAATCACGCATATGCAAATTCACGATAACCCTCGCATATTGACATTGGCATAAAATGAGAATTGTACAAAACAACGGACATAATGCAGTTAGTACAACATGCAACAACAGTCAATCAGAATTCTTCATGATGATGAATTATTTCCTATAATGAAATTGTGAAATAGTTTGCTTGCAACAATGTTTAACCCTTCTCCTTTCAATGTTGATGTCGTGTAGGTTCTGTAACTGTAATTAAAATTAAGTAAATTTTGTAGGGTCAGATGTTCTTTTGATTTATGGGGAATACTACAAAAAAGGGAATCTTTTAGCAATTAAGCATATAGTTATCTCAATTTGATAACGTATTTTGGGGTAACATGTGGCCTATGAATACAATACACCATTGTTAGTATCCTCTTATATTGTAAAGAATCATTCAAGTTATTATTATTCATCCTTGAGTAGATATGGTGAATCATATTGATCTTAATAATATGTAAACATCGTTTACAAACTTTAGATATTTTGAGATGGTTTATTAATCTGAATACGATACGCAAAAAAAATATTCCAATCAAATAAAAACATAAACATTATATTCTGACATTTCAAGTTTTTGGATTCAGTCACTATGAAATATTATTAATTTCGCCTGTAAGTGGCTAGTAGGAGTCTACACTTATCAAAATGAAAGCAATTCTTGTTGTTGTTTTTTTTTCTATACCAATTGTAACGAACCTTATACATATTCATGTATGTTAATGCTAATGATGGGCATGCGCAAAGGAATGAATTGTAAAAGCATTTTTTTTTTTTTTATTTAAAAAACCTATAGCCGTCTGTACAGATATGTTATTACTTTTGTTTTGAATTCATACCGTTGTTACTGTTGAGTTATTATGACTTCATGATATGGTTTAATAATCGAATGGCACATTGTTATAACACAATTAAACTTATGCGTTCCTCCGTAAATATTTATATAATGCCTGTTTCAATAAGTTCATCGTCTCGGTCCTCATCTACCATATTAAAAATGCTCATCTCTTACTAATGGGATAGCAAAAGAATTATACCCCATTTTACTTTGTAATGTGATGTAACTGTATTACTGTGTACATTGGTGTACGAAAAATATAATTATTTGATTTCTTGTATGCCAAATACAACTTAAAGGAAAGGAAATAAGTACATTGCAGCACGTATACTACTGTGTGTCAATTGACAATTAATTGTTTGATTATATCGGATAGTTTTCACTTTCGACACAGATAATCAATTATTCAATAAATTCACTTTCGATTTAAGCCTACCTAATTTATGTTCCTCTGTATTATCCATATATCAAAGGTGCTTTAAGTGTTTTGTGGTATAGACTGCAACAGAAAATTCTGCATAAAGGCTACACCATTATTGAGCATAATTAATAATTTCTCCCCCCCCCCCCCGCCCCCGTCCCAGAAACAACCTATTTAAGAGTTTCTTAAAATATTTCTTTAAAGCTGAGAATGTTTTATAACAATGGATTCAAAGTAATGTTATTAATGTAGTACGAATAAATAAGGAGGTTTGATGCAATATAATGGGGTATACTCTCGAAAGTAAAATGGTAAATCAAGATTTAAAAACAGCAATGATAATTTATTTTTCAAACGGATAGATTTGGCGTTTGGAACCATACTGTATAAATCCTTATTAGTGCAGGATCCAGCATATAAACTAATGAAATATACATAAACAACGTTTTGAAGAATAACACACCGCTACCTTTGCCTTTAAATATTGATTTACCACTTTCGTTTCGAGTGTTTATGATATAGATGATTTGGGCAGCTGGGGGGTGTTTCACAAAGATCCGAGGTTGAACTTATTTCTAAGTTGGACTTAAAATTTATGGGAAGCCATTAGCATCCTTGAAAATATTTTTTTTTTTTTTTTTAGAAGGCATAAAATGTTGATTCAAATCATTCATATTTTCTATTATCATGGGAGATTTCATGTTCTTGATGTGGAATTGATGAAAAGTCTAAAATACTCCAAATTTTTGCTTTTGAATATATTTCATTCTAAGGCTCCAATGGCTGTCCATACTTTTTAAGTCCAACTTAGTGTTAAGTTCTACTTAGGATCTTTGTGAAACACTCCCCAGGAGTGGTAATTTTGTTATATCATGAACAGTGAACATTCTACTGACTACATAACGACGGGGATTACGAAGGTCTTATGATGAGGACAAGGGCCCGTTGCACAAAACTTACCATTGATGGTAATTTTGCCATCGATGGTAACTACCATGGAAACCTTGATTTTGATTGGCTGTTGAGCCCTGTTACCATGGTAGTTGCCATTGATGGTAATTTTGCCATCGATGGTAACTACCATGGAAACCTTGATTTTGATTGGCTGTTGAGCCCTGTTACCATGGTAGTTGCCATTGATGGCAAAGTTACCATCAATGGTAAGTTTTATGCAATGAGCCAAGAAATGTTATGAATTCCATATGATATAGAGTAAAATGTATGCTAATCACGTGAAATTTAAAGTATACCAATCACAAAAATATGTTTCGCTCTAGATAGAAGAGGTTCCGTGTCGCTTTACCAAATTCAAAATATGAGCTTCATATATTACTTTAACAAAGATTTATTGCAGTTTCAATATGCTCTCATTAAAAAGTAAAACGAGCTGTTGAGTAAACTAGTTGACGCATGCGTACGCGCTCGCAAAAAGTAGGGCGCTCACAGAACCGAAATCAGAGTTGGTTTCCGTTCGCGCCGTTTTATGTGATCCTTTTTTTTTTTTTTTTCCTACCTCTTTACTGTTGACCCATTAATGCGGTTTAAAGCGGATTTTTGTTAAGGTTAGTATCATATATTTTAGTTATACGGACATAACCTTTAGGTGATTGGTACACTTTAAGCGACTGATGAACACAATGACGAACGTACAGGATGACCAAGCCATATTTTGTTCGTGTGTGTAATACCAGGAATATATGTCTAGTCTGTTGCAAGCGAGCCAGCACCCATGCCGAAGCCGACTCCCTTGGGTCCAAATCCCTTGGCGTAGCATCCTGTAAAAATAGGCACGACCAGCCATTGTCAATCCATCCACTACATCATCCGAAAGCGGTGACGAATATATAGCCCGTAGCCGATTTATGCCGAATTTAGGCGAATTTTGCCGAACTCAGCCGATTTAAGCCGAATTTTGCCGAACTCATCCGATTTCAGCCGAATTTTGCAAAAGTGCAATATCTTGGTCACACCACAGAACCGACTCCACACCGACTCCAAATTGACAGGTTCTTGGCCTTTGGACGTAATGAAGCTACGTTTTCGGCCTACTATCGGTTTGGTGTCGGTCTGCTGTCGGTTTGGTGTCTGTCTGCTGTCGGTTTAATGTCGGTCTGCTGTCTATCTGCTGTCGGTTTGGTGTCGGTCTGCTGTCGGTTTGGTGTCGGTCTGCTGTCGATTTGATGTCGGTCTGCTGTCGATTTGGTGTCGGTCTGCTGTCGGTTTGGTGTCGGTCTACTGTCGGTTTAATGTCGGTCTACTGTCGATCTGCTGTCGGTTTGGTGTCGGTCTGCTGTCGGTTTGGTGTCGGTCTGCTGTCTATCTGCTGTCGGTTTGGTGTCGGTCTGCTGTCGGTTTGGTGTCGGTCTGCTGTCGATTTTGTATCGGTCTGCTGTCGGTTTGGTGTCGGTCTGCTGTCGGTTTAATGTCGGTCTGCTGTCGATCTGCTGTCGGTCTGCTGTCGATCTGTTGTCGGTTTGGTGTCGATCTGCTGTCGGTTTGGTGTCGATCTGCTGTCGGTCTGCTGTCGATCTGCTGTCGGTTTGGTGTCGGTCTGCTGTCGGTTTGGTGTCGGTCTGCTGTCAGTCTACTGTTGGTCTCGTTGGTGTGACTTACGTCACTAATGCAATTTAATTAGTCAATGTTTTTACATTGTCTCCCAAAAGTCGAGATATAACATTCTCTCCGCTTACGGACAGTGTAGTGGACGGAGCGATGAATAAAAGGGAAATAACTAAAACGAAATAAATTCATAAAGATATTAATGTAAAAGCATTAAAAAACGGAAAAGTATCAATTTAACAGAAATTCAAATCATATTAACAATATTATTCATGCACAGACATTAATAAATTAATTGGAACTTTAAACAGTAGAGGTTACCCCAAAAAAGCGGTAATTCCTTTTTAATATGTACGTGAAGAACAGACTTTCATCAAATTTTTACCAAATTTTTACCAAATGTATACCAAGGAAATGCTGTGAACAGGTGAAAGTTAATTTGATGTAAGAGGTAAGATACTAATTTATTGTCATGTAATACATTCATAAGATGACAGATTAAAGCAATGGATAGCCATTAAAGAGAATCGTATTGCATATCAAAAGAAAATTTGAAAATAAACGTATTAATATTATTGCTCACAAATCATTTATCGACTCTGGTACATGCTCTGATTTACATGATGATTCATATCGCGAATAGGTTCATTCATGTTCATTTCAATGTTGTCAAAGCAAATATGCCTTCTCATAAAAAATGCTGAAACCTTTGAAATAGCATGTTAGCACAAACTTCATGCCGTAAAAAAAAATTGAAAATCATTTGTAAACAAAAACAAATTAATTTAAACAAAATCATAAACGATCATAAAGAAAATGCGAAACCAACCAGCATGTTATTAAAGAAATGTTACAAACTTTCAATTTTAGAATTAATTTGCACACGTTATAGAAAAATTAGACACAAAGTAATTTATTTGTTGTATATGTGCTACTTACAATTTTGTTTAAAATGTGCACTGTCCTATAAAAAAAAAAAACATTTCCCCCTTTTTGCCTGTACGTAATTTAACTATGATTACTTGAAAACCGTAATGCCCCCCCCCCCCCCTATACATAAAAGGGGATTCTGCCAATAGGGGCCACAAAATCCAAAGATACTTCAGGGCTTTATTTCAAATTTAATTAATCTGAAACAGTGAACATTTTCGGGTTCTCATACTAAAGAAAGCATACGACTCTAAACTTTTGGAAGTTATTCGTAAGAATCCAAAGTTGCCACAGACGATGCGTACATAGAGTGCTCAACATGGATTTCGTAGCATTACCGGGAAGGTTCGTTTATCCGAAGGTTCGTAATTTCAAAAAGTGAAATATGGTACACTATTCCGAAGGCTCGTAATTGCGGAATTGAAATAGGGTTTATAATTACGAAAAGAATTGGGCTTCGTTATTCCTAAAAAACGATATAGGGTTCTATGTCATTATGACAGTTCCGAAAAACGACATGCAACCAAAAGAATATCAACTTAATAATTTACCAATAAAAATGGGGGGAAAATAAATAAATACAAAATAAATAGATATTTAAAAAAAAATAATAATAATAATAATAATGTAAATGAATTTAATTTGCGAATTCGCTACCGGGTTGTCTATGGGAGACGTTCAGTAAGTGCCCTATCCGAGGGACAGTAACTGTTTTCTCACCTTTACAGAAGATTTCACCGTCCTTATCGGCTAGGGTGGTGGAATCCAAGCGCTTGTTACACATGAAGCAGGTGAAACACTTGGAGTGCCAAGTCTAGAAGAAAATAATGACAACTGAGAGTAATACTGATGTTGATGATGATGATGATGATGATGATGATGGCGATGATGATAATGACGACGATAAAGATGATAATGATGATGATTTGCTGATGATGATGATGTTGTTGATGATGATAAAGATAATGATTCTGATGATTTTCTGATTAAGTTGATGGTGGTGGTGGTGGTTGTAGTGGGGGTGACAATGATGCGGGAAGGATGATGGGAATGGTGATGATGATGATGGTGATGACTACAATGATGATGACGTTTAGAGAAAAAACTGGTATGGAAAAACAGTGATTTTCCCCATTCCAGATGATTAAGATGATGAAGTCAGATACTGCTTGTGTTGATGATAATGACGACGATGATGATAGAATGGTGATGATGATGACGATGATGAGATTATAATAATGATGATGATGAACATGGTGATGGGAGTGATGATAATGGTGAAAATGGTGATGACGTTGGTAAAAAACAAAACAATAATATATGGATGAACAGTGATTTTCCCTCATTTCGAGGATTCTAGATAATAATCACTCTCCTTCTAAAAGTTTGATGTCAAACGCAATCAATTAAAGCAACAAACTGAATATTTGCCGTCTCTCCTTATATTTCCGTACACATTTTGAGTATCTAAATCAAAAAAGATATTGGACCCGTTTCCATAATGCAAACTCTTTTTCTCTCATTTTGTTTTCAAAATGGCGGACAAATTTACCATGTTGGCGGCAACCTTCTTTTCTGCGGCGTAGACCGAGCCGCCGCACCTCGAGCAGCGGTCACCTTCCCCGGTGACGCCCGTCAGGTCTGAGTGAGCGTACGCTGCTGCAACTGCTGGTGCTCCCCTATACAGCGTACAAAAAGGTTTAAGATTTTTCCAGTCATGAAGCCAACATCAAAATATATTTCAAATACAAAATATTATGATGACTAACATTAACCAGAGTATATGATTATCATCATGTTCATTAATGCATGCAAAGCACGAAGTTTACAATAATATACTACACTGCGCACAATTTCAAGTAGGCCTATCATATTACCCTAGACGCAGTGAACTCTTTCTTTCTTTCTCTCTCTCTCTCTCCCTCTTGCTCTTTCCATATCTCTGTAACTGTAAATTACCGTTTACTAGGGTCGGGTACGTTCCCCACCAGTCGTTTTCCTTCGTCCATACCTAATGAGCCTCCACCGATACCAAAGTCAACGCCCTTAATACCAAACTTATGGGTGTGGCACCACTGCCCCCACCATTCTCCCGCCTCTCTCTCTCTCTTTCTCTCTCTCTCTCTCTCTCTCTCTCTCTCGTGACCTACCTTAGGCTTGGGTCGGGTACATTTCCTAATTGTTCTCCTTCGTCCATGCCCAGTGAACCTCCGCCGATACCAAAGCCAACGCCCTTGATACCAAACTTACGGGCGTGGCACTTCTTGCAGTAAAGCTCGTCCTCGTGGGGAGACACCGTCTTGGAGTCCAACCCTGTTTCGCAGAGGACTGACAGGAAATAGAAAGAAAAATAAAAGATAGAAAGATTTTAATCATTATCAAGTATAGTAATATCTTAGTGTTAGTAATAATCGTAATGAACATTTGTTATAACATGTATTTTCATTATTTCACATTGAATGCAAATTCGTTAAAAAGTCTCTATGCAAATTTGATGTTTATATATTTCAATGAAAATATATACACCATTTACAAATCAAATATTATGATTAAATCATGTACCTTAATATATATATTCCGATAATCAGTATTACAGTTAGGCAGTTAAACATATCCCTCCAGTAGAAATTACTTAATGCCCTGCAAAAGCTTCTGCCACTTGGAATATTTCTCATAATCGCTATGAACATTGTTCCATACAGTGAGCAGCAGAGGGCAGTATACGTAAATCTGAAGTTGTGTCAATAGAATACCCTAGTAAATAATAGTAAATGAATTCCAATTTCTCTGATACTTTCAGATGTTATTAATTATAAGCATAGCAAAAGGATTTTACACCATTCAATCCGATTTACTTAAATTTTGCCAAGCTACAACTTCCCTTTAAAGCAATAAGTCCCTTTTGCAGACTTATGCAAACTCCATGAAACTTGGCGAGTGCTTAAAATATATACTCTGGATATCGTGTGTGAAATTTTACAGTCAAAGTTTCTGAAACTTCTTTGAATGATTTTTGTTTTCCTTTTCATGGGAGGTTCATAGTAGTAGACCTCTTCAATATACCACTGTATTCATGAAACCTCGTGTTTTTAAGTCTGCAAAAGAGAGAAGCCATCTTTAAGCGCTAAATGAAAAATAATGTGCCTGTTATTTCGATGCAAATGTAGGAAAATAACGGACTTACAGCATCTATGGCACATTTTATGGTAGGAGTATGAGTTAGTTTTGATCTCCTCTGCGGCATACACCGACTTTCCGCATCGTGAGCATTTAGCTCCACCACCTAGAGGAGGCATCTTGGAAGATTACTAAGATGGTCAAGAAAAGAAAGACAAGAGAAAAATAGAATGACAAGGTTATTATATAGTAATGTTTAACATCTGAAATAATAATAATGATAATAAGAAGAAGAATGATAGTAATATACTAAATTTGTATATAGTGCATGCACATTACAAGGTTAGAATTAGAATAGTTTTATACTAAAAAGAAAATGACAATAATTCCAAATATGGAAATGTTTCATATCATATATAATACTACAGATAAGCGGGAAATTACACAATACACAAGCTGAGGATTGAAATGGGCGATAAAAATGTTGCAAAAATTATGTTTGAGATTCTGATGATATAACTCTATTATCACATAAACATTTACTTTCTTGTATCAAAGAGAACTGTTGCTGGGCTACCGCCATGAGCGTCTCTGGATGGTGTGTGCGCTTTATAGGCTTACACTATTATTATTATTATTATTATTATTATTATTATTATTATTATTATTATTATTTATTATTATTATTATTATACAAAATAATAAGCTGAGAACTAATAGATTAACAAATTGAATTAGATTTATTGGTCCGCATAAAAAAAGATGGAGTTTAATAATAAATGATGGCAAAAAAGTAATAGTTTACAAAAATGGCCAAAATAGAAGAAAGCAAAGCAAAGCGTTATATATTGGACATTACGTACAGTTTAAATTGAATGCAGATGACTTAAAGAGGTGTGCTAAATTCGTCACTATCCTTGCGTTCCATATCGCCCTATATTTGCACCCGCCCCCACCCCTTTCCAACGCCGTTGAAATATTTCAACCATGTCAACATCTATGTCACAAAATGTCAATCAACATGATGGTTAACAGCTGTCGTAGCTGGGGGAAAGGGGTAAATATATTTATATATATATATATATATATATATATATATATACCCCTTCTTTTACAATATATAGCAGTTGTATTAGTGGTGGTGTTAGTAGTAGTAGTAGTAGTAGTAGTAGTAGTAGTAGTAGAAGTTGTAGTAGTAGAAGTTGTAGTAGTAGTAGTAGTAGTAGTAGTAATAGTAGTAGTAGTAGTGGTAGTAGTAGTACACTCTAAAAACTGAAATGTTAAATCACCATTTAAAAGGGCCGAGGAGTGACCACTCTTTCAAAATGGTAGATTAACACTTTGAACATGCTGGATCCACCACTATAAAGGTTGAATCTAGCAGGTTAAAAGAAACAATCTGACATTTTGAAAGAGTGGTCACTCCTCGGCCCTTTTAAATTGACATTTAACATTTCAGTTTTTAGAGTGTATAAATGGTAGAAGTAGTAGTAATAGAAGTAATAATAGTAGTAGTAGTAGTAGTAGTAGTAGTAGTAGTAGTAGTAGTAGTAGTAGTATTGGTAGTAGTAGTAGTAGTAAGAGTAAGAGGATGAAGAAGAAGAGAAAAGGTAAATATTGTCGTCGGATGTATTTGAATAGTAAATAAACTAATCATTATTATAACTGTTATAATGATGATGATGATAATGATTTTTATCATTATTATTATCGTTATTATGAACATCATCGTCCGCATCCCCGAGACGATAATAAACTGTCCTTCTTCTCTCCCCCCCCCCCCCATACCCCCTTTTCTCTCTATCTCTCCCTCTCAAGCACACACACGCACACGCTTACAAGCACACGACAACACGCAGCCCTCTTCTGCCCATCCCTACCCCTCCGTCCTTAAGCTATCGTTTCCGCACACACACCCCGGCGTCAGCTGCGGTCTAATCTCTACGCGTTAAATCTACAATCACATTGGGGTTAAAAAGCTGGTGGGCGGGTGAGCATTACGCCCCGCTTGACGAGTCGTCCGCATACCACAGGCGCCTTCCCACCACTCTATATGGGCAAAGAATGGTTGGTACTCCGCCAGCGTGCGCTGGGCTACACGCGCTTTTACGCGGACGTTAAGACGAACAAGGTCGCAGCTGTGATCTATCTATGCACCCTCAAGTTTACGAAGAAGCGAAGGGTTAATGCATTTGCCCCCTACGAGAGCGGAGGCCATCTGCCTGTGGTATGGTATGCGCACAGCTATCTGGTAGGCGTTCCAATACACAGTGACATAGTTTATACCTTATTGCTATTTTCTATCCCTTTTTTTTTTAACTGTAATTATTTTACTTACCTGGTAAATCATTCGCCAAAGATCATACATATGGTTAGTTTATGGTTCCACCTATATTTAACTTTCTTATGTACTCATGATTATTAAACGGTTATTTAATTACTTTCATTGAAGATAAGCAACATTATCAAAGATAGTAATTCAGATAATTAAAATATTGTATGTACATATTGACTATATCGTTTTCTTCTATCTACATTACCTGATATACACGCGTCATACGGAGATAAAGCCAATAATATAATCGAGTACAAGGCTATTTTGTTGACAGGCTGCGTTTGAATTTAGAAAGTGAGAACACTTTAATGCATCTTCGCCTCTGATATTGCATATTAAACATATTATTATTCCAGTGGCAATTATAAAGAGGATGATCATAATTATATTACATAATTTGGGGGGTCACAAGTCAGTGACCTTTGTTGCTTCTCCTCGTTCTTAATGTTGTTTGTTTGTTTGTAAAACTTTCTAGGTATGTATCTTGTATTATGAAAAAGGTTGGAACTGTGTAAGTAAACAACATATAAATAGTAATGATAAAATTGGTATTCGCTATGGATGGATATATAATATTACACTGGTATTAAAAAATTACATTTTCTTCGAATCAAATAACATTTAAAAAACAAAATCATGCCCCATTATATGTATCTTCAAAACTGACTTGGAATTTCTAACAAAGGATCTTCGTCACCCTACTTTTTTGTAAAATAATTTTTAATAATATTAAAACTCAGTGTATCATATAAATACATTTGGCACAGTAACATTTGTTAAAAGCCAAAATTGAGGCTTTTTCACAAAATGTTCTCATCCTGAAGATCCCAATTACAATTTGGTATATGGGTTCAGTAATTGCCTATAAACAATATGCCGTTTGGTATTATAAATTACAATTCCTAACAGTATAAACAAAATAAGGATTGGTCACAAATTGAGACTATTGATCTTCTTCTTCTGTAGTGGGAGTGTCGTGGTCGAGTGGTTTAAGGCGCTTGACTGGAGATGCGAAGGTCGAGGGTTCGAATCCCGACACGGCACTAATATCCTTTGGCAAGATATTAACCTGCACTTGCTACTCTCCACCCAGGTGTTAAATGGGTACCCGGTAGGATGCGACCGTCATTGTTGGTCAAACAGCTTGTGAGCGTCAAGTAACGCCCGGCTGGAATGCTCCCCAGGGAGTGGAGATTGTGCACACAGTGTGTGCGGGCAAGCACTGAATCCAATGACCGGGGTAATAGTATATATTTGTAAAGCGCTTAGAGACATTTGTATTAAGCGCTATATAAAAATTAAATATTATTATTATTATTATTATTATTATTAATCAATGATTTAAACTGCCAAAATATAACAAGAACACTCAGAAGAGATGCTTATAACTAATATATATGTATATTTTTATACGGTATATAATTTATATATTATATATATATTTATTTATTTATGTATGCATGTATGTAATGTAAATACATGTATGTATGTAAAGTACGTATGTTTGTATATATATATATATATATATATATATATATATATATATATATATATATATATATAAAGAGAGAGAGAGAGAGAGAGAGAGAGAAAGAGGGGAGGGAGAGAGAAGGGGGAGGCAGTACAAGACATTGCTACAATCGCAATCATTACGTCCCGGGTGGAGAATGACTTTGGTAGAGACCTTGATGGTAATTTTAGTAATAAGATGTTGCAGATCTGACAGCTGGGTTTGGCAAATGGAATATATTCCCTCTGCGAGTTGGATATGTAGGGGGGACTGTAGCTACTCATATCTATATATATATATATATATATATATATATATATATGTGTGTGTGTGTAATATTCACAGCATGGTTCACCTAGCCAGTATTTAGTACACCTTGTCTCATATAATCCCTCTTGTATGAGACTGTGTGTGAATGCCATTAGTTAATCATGTGATGTCCTGGCTTCCATTTAATCACCAGCCCTCAATTGAATTTGACTTAAAGACTGTCACCCTTGACCTCGTAATCGAAAGGTTTTCACCAGCTGTCTGTAGGCCCTTGTGTACCAAATACAAGCACATGGTTGTCAAGAAGTCATGCATTGGCACTTGCCCTGAGTTGCGGCTTAGTGTAGCCTTACGCCATGATTGGAATGGTACCATTTTTTTAAAGAGAAGGCGAGAGGGTTCAGGTAACGGTGAAAATTATTTGTAAGCTTTGATTTTTTTTTGCATTCATTCGAATGAGGAAAAATATCAATGAGATAATGTCTAGTGAAAAGGGTTGCTCTTTAACTGATTTTAAAATTGTAAATACTGATCAAATGTTTGTAGCTTTGGATTACATTCCGAAGCAACACATTTTTGTGTCATTTTTGTGTGTGTGATCCTAACAAGTTTTTTATCAATACATTACCATTTTGATGATTCGGAAAAACACGATACACTTTGATTATTTTTAAATACACAATAACTACTTGCAATAATTCTATAAACCCGTTCTTTCTCAATTAATCGGCATGACCTGGAATTCAACTTTATTTGAACACCTCCATTGACCACCCGCTGCCTTTATGTGTCATTATATTTGTTAAATAGACCAAGGAAGGACAGAGAATTAGGGCGAGAGGAATGGGGAGGGAAGAGATGCGGAGATGGAGGCCCCAGGTTTCCATTTACCCAACATCAAAATAGGTATGAAGGACTGTTGTGAATTCTGTAAACAAGGGGTACATTTTGAGGGCTATCGACATTTACTTCCCAGACTGCGATAATCTAAATTAGAGCTAATTTTGACATAACATGGACTACGAAAAAATTAAGGTTATAACAAAGTCTGGGGATGCTTCAGTGAATAACATATTTTATCCTTCTAGTTTAATGAACTTCCTTGAAACGCCAATAAATTTCCTCGATATTGAACATCACGTCAAATAAATATTGATTTTTTTTTTTTTTTTTACAAGAGGTACTTTTCACGTTATGGTTTTTTGCCTCCTGTGTTCATTTTGTAAACGCACATAGAAGATGTCAAACTAGCGCAGAAAGTTCTCTTCCTGATTGTAATATTTTCCTATTGTTTTTTATATTGTTAATATTCATTTTTAATTTTGATAAAACAGTTAATTGATTAGACATTTCTTCAGGCCACATTCATTAGTTTTAGTAATTATTGAGTTGCATTTAATAGCTGTTTTAACTATTATGATGATGTTTATATTGTTGTTCTTCATTTTGTAGTATAAACATTTCTATCGTGAATAATTTAAGTTAAGCTAAGTGTGAGTTGATGGTTAACATTTTGTGTGTACCTGAACTATAATACATAATGTTCCTTACACAATTCTAGAATCAACACCAGTAGATTCGTAGCCAGAGTTATTCAGAGTCTGACATGTTTATCTAGAGTAGATGTGGAAGGAGTGGGACGTGAAGAGAGAGATGGATAGGGAGAGAGAGAGAGAGAGAGAGAGAGAGAGGGAGGGGTCGGAGTAATTAAGAAGAAGACAGTGACAGCAGGAGAAAAACAGGCTGACCAAGGTATTGGAAGCGAGATTAAACGAGGAATGTTGTTGTTGTTGTTGTTTTTAGGTGTTATCGGCGTTTCATTCTTTGGACTTTATGGAAGAACAGAGCTCTGAAATGGACTATCCAACCGTTTTATCATTCTATCATTGTTATATAAGTCTTTGATTTTGTTATAGTGTGTTATTGTTTTTATGATGATTTTCGGAAATAAAACAAACAAAAGAATATTTACGCCTTTCACTTTTTTCTTTCGGTTTCGTTTACTATTTTTAATGTCGTATTCTTCAAAAATCTCCAGTTTTTGATAATATTTGTTTTTCTTTTTCTTGTCGTTTGTTGTCTTCTTCCATTTCCTTTTTAAATTAATCTTTTTAGCTTAATCTCAGATCCACTGGTCCATTAATAAAAAGCGTTAAACATTACATACTGTTCATGCGTCACGACTTCTAATACACTCACAGATCCCGAATAAAGACCAATATGGAA